TTCCGTTTCAGGGGTGGGGGTGGGGGGGACTCCAGATGAGCTGCCGCCACACGCTACTTACTAATACATTTAAATGGGTACCTGATAATGAGCATTATGTATCGAATCTTTTCCAACGTCGCGTAGCTCATTTCAAGAGAATTTAAGAATGAAGAATGAAATTAATTAAAACCAAAACATTTACAAAAAAATGTATATTTATAATAATACAAAAACAATGAAGTATAAAATAAAAATTAGTTAATGTATATTTAATAATTTACATCTGCAATTATGTTTACGAAGGGTGTACATTTAATAATTTCATTGATTTTATATCATTTTCAAATAACCTATGTTTTAAACTAAGTGAAATCATGAAACCGTAAGCCAGAGCTAAGTTACAAGATAATTTTTATTTGTTTTATTTTTAGGATTCTGCAGACTTGGCAGATCTACCAAGCTCACCGTACCATGCGCAAGAAAGACAAGATGTGGTGTACAAACCGCTGTTGACTAAAGATTAGGTTATATTAATTTTTTACACAATGGACATAATAGAACAATTTCATATTTGGGAAAATGGAACAATGTGTAGAAACTGTACCCACCTCATGGTACTGCAGTAATATTAAAAATGTATATTGCTTCATAACAAAAATGCTTTGTGAAAATCTTCTGTCTCAAACCAGTAATTCAAGACCATGAACGCTTTAAGTTAAGATGGCGCATAAACCAAATCACAAAAAATAGATTTACGAAATTATCTCGACGGAAAAACAATAATTTTCAGTATATCGTATGGTAATCCTACTCGTCAATGAGTTATCGTAAAATACTCGTACCTATGAGGTTTCTTCGACTAACTGTTGAGACAGATAATTTTTCTTTCAATCCAATTTTTCAAGAATTATAACAAAAAATAACTAGTTTATTAGTTTACATAAAACAGTAGTAGTTTGTTTCGAAATTGTTATACATTTTTTTTTACTTACGAATGTTTTAATGTTGAAGTTTCCACTGAAATATGTCAGACTAAACCACAACAACTATGTTAATCTGTTAAAAAAAAAGCAGTCGTCGAACGCTGTTCTGCTCGTCATAGAACCATAGAAGTATTTGTGTGGGGTTTAATCTTACTAATATTATACAAGCGAAATTTAGTATACAAATAAGTCTTGGCCTGGATATAGGTTACTGTTTATACCACTAAACAGTTCCCTAGGAACCACGCGGCTAAAGCCGCTGGCAGAAAGCTATAAATTATAAGTTTTGATTGAATCTCTATGACGTAACAACGCTGTATTCGACGACGATTTCGAGATTTGTTTTTATAAATAGCAATACAGAGTGTAGCTGACTTAAGCTAGGGTACCTATATGCATATACAGGGTTATCATTTGCTCAGCTCCATGTTTTAAAATAGTAAAAAAGCTTTAAAATAAGTACGTTTTTCTATAATGGATTCTAAACAAGTTGCATTAATGCGATAAAAAGAAATTGCATTAGTGAAACTTAAAAATACTTATTCTTTGTCAACAAAATTAAGTGTAACTTATTTATTTATGAATTTGTTACATTTATTTTTTGTTCAATACATTTCCACCAGTCAGTTAGATTATAAGGCATGAATAATTTATTAAATTAGTTTTAAGTTTATTTACTATTATTTATTTAATAAAGACTTAAACAAATGTGGCCAGAATATTGTTTAGTACCTAGTTTCATTTAATGCCTATATTAATTACTTTAATTATCTAAACGTTAACACCATTTTGACAAGGAGTTATTGAAATTTGTCGATCTCCGTAGCCGAGTGGTTCGCCGGTCTCCATTTATAAGACACCAGGGTTTTTTTGAGTGAAAAAAAAATCCATATTGATAGGGACGCTATTGAGCAATAATGTTTCAACCCGCATAGACAACATTTCGGGAAAATGGAGTCTAAAGGTGTATAATAAGTCGCCAATTTTTTGAAAAACAATTTAAAAATAATTATTTGACTGCAAAAAACTCCTAATAAAGAGCGAGATAAATAACACCACAATTTTTTTGCCTTCAATAAAATCGAATCACAAAAAGTGGATAAAAAAATCATTTTTTTAAGGTAGGTGCCAGATATTTTTAAGAAAAATATAATGTATGGTAAGAGAAAAGTTTCTGATAGCCTCGTTTTATTTCTTACCAAAGGACACGGCTAGCCTCGACTTCGAAAAAAAATGTTGGTCTATCCACTTTTTGTTTTATTAAAGATTTTTTATAGTTGGTTTAAATTTTTAACACAAAACTACTGAACCGATATTGATGAATCGTTGCAACCCGACGTCTAGTTTGCGAGATATCCGTGGATAAACATACATACATAAATCTATAAAATTTTGCACACGTGTTTAGAAGCAGCAATACAGGCCAACATAATATGATTAGTACGCCATTCCAACGAATTTACCTACATACACCTTGAATTGATAACCTCTTTTTTTTGAAGTCGGTAAAAAATTTTTGCTGCGTGGGTTGATAAATTATTGCTTATCAGCGTCCTATACATGGTAAGTAGCGTAGGTACCTGAAATCTGTAATAACGAAGGTTCCTTATTTGAAATTTCTATAACACGCATTCTTTAGTAGTTAATCTATCGTCTGATATATTTTTTTTAATTAGGCACTCTTACGGTCGTATATAGATACGTTATTACTTCGTACTACTATAGAGTAGTACGAAGTAATAACTTGAGAAAATGTAATCAATTAAACAATTTTTTTAAAGAATGACAGTTCCTCGTGCAAATTCTCGTTTATTTGTTACAGATATTAGCTGAAATTATGCTGACATTTTATCAAATAATTAGGTACTTTTTTCTCTCTACTTAGAGGAGCTATTAAGGTCAAATATATTTACAGACAATATGCGAACCGGAATATGTTGTGCCAATTAATAAATACCCACCTACTAACTTTTCTCGTTCTGAATACCACCTTTCACGGTCATTAAAGGTCCTACTTGGGAAGTTGTACAACCGCAGAAATACTAGAAACCTGTTTAAGACCAGCCTGTCCGGTTTGTGTGGATATGGCAACAAAGCAGTAGTAATATATTCACCAACGGGAATCTCATCACCTTATAACGGTGAGATGTTGGATATTATGATTAGATAAAAATCTAAATTGAGCTGCAGCATGATAAGTGTAGCGATTAGTGCATTAGGTCTGTCATTCACTAACTTTTGCAAATGTCTGTCATTGGATGGAGACCATAAAAGTATTATATCGAGTTCTGTGCTTCAAAAAGACATGTTAAGGCGTTGATCCCGGCTGTACCTGTTCGAACGTGATAGAATCACGGCAATTTATGGAACAAAGTCAAATGTGTAATGCCTGCCAAATTGACATTTGGTATGAATGTGAGTTTGCTATGATTTAGAGGAAAGTTTACTATCTGCTGATAGAATTCGGCAGGCGTTACACATTCGTTTTTGATCCATAATTAAGGTGATTCTAGGTTTTATCACGTTAACGGAGTATTAAATCAGAATAATATAAGACTGGTAATTTTATTTGTTTCTCTTCATGGTACCCTAGAATAGGGAATACTAGCAGGATGTCAAAAATTTCAATGTTTATAAATTCTTACTAAAGTGGCTTGAAATTTTTTAAGGAGCTTCTAAAGTATTTAAGTTTAAAGTGAAGCGCTGCCGAAGCGACGTCCGCAGCGCCATTATTTTTTAATAATCTCTTAAAGTGCTCCACTACGTCCCAGACTCATAAATAAGAGATTAAATGATGTCCTTCAAAGTTTTTCAGAATTCATTACAAGTACAGAGTTCTATCTAAGATTTACGTTTTACGTTTATCTTTGAAACTTACTTAGCTGTGGCCCTATATCTTAATTAACTGTCTAGTAAGATACTAGATTAATCAACAATTTGATTAAAAATCGATGAAGGTAGCGCCGCCAGACACACGATTTCTTTTTCTTCTTTCATTATTAATGACTTATCTGCACATTTCGCACAATTCTGCCAATGTCAAGTGAATAAATTAATTTTTACATGTAAAATGAAAATGAAATGAATGAAAGATGCGATTTGATGTCATAAATATTAACAAAACGTCCACATGCCAGTCAAAGTGTCTTTTATATACCTACCAAGTATGGTCCGATCACAGAGTGAACCAGTGTGTGCTCTTTAGTGCCATGGGGCTTAATTCTACTAATATTAACATAACAATAGCGTGTCAATGGCGTTTCAACAGTAACTTTTTTGAGTTCTTGTCAGAAGAAAACAAAATAACAAAAGAATCTGTCATCATTGAATCACCAAGACGCCATTGCACTGATATTTTCGTTGGGTAAATAATGCCGGGGAATATGAGATTATTGAAACGCCATTAAAGTGCCATTATTTCGTTAGCATTCTCAGAATCAAAGCCCTGCAACCTATTGCATATTTAAGGTACACACAACTGATCTGATGGAAATCTCCTCAATGGATTCTGAACACTACTTACGATGCACCAAGGTCTAAAATCAAATGGAGAATATTGACAGTTTTGTATAGCCTGACTACCTGACGTGCTGTTGACTGTATATTAAAGAGAAACTTGTTCATGCCACGAGTGACACTGACTTTTAAAAATGCAGAAATATTTTTTTAGAGCTACTTTAAAACATCCCCTTCGTTTTCACCAAATGCTTATACTATTTATATATATGTATTTATAACTCGAGAACGGCCGAGTATTTGTGTTTTTTTATTTGTAATAATAAGTATTAAGATATCATATTTTATCAACAAAAACAATTATTATAAAATTCTCAAAAAATCAGTGATAATAGTGATTTGTTATAGTAAATCGCAACTAACAGTTCAAGTTATATTGTCTTTATGGTTTGTTATAAATAATTGTGTATTAATTTTAAATTCAAAAATATGCTCATCGATTGACTGTTAAGCCGAACAAAGTTTGTGGGGTCTGCCAATTAGTTGATAAAAAATATGAAAAAATCAAAAGACAAGAGCTATAAAAAACCAAAAATATATTTTCTCATTAACACATACATCATATCTACCGCGGTGAATACCTAGGGTTCTCTGGAGCATAAGTGAAACTCCTCAACTCATATGACACACCGTTTTGATTCTCATAACCTATCTCTCGCAAATCATTCTTTATTTCCGAATCGAAGTCGCTCGACCCGCCGAAGACGCGATTGGGTCGACAATCGGAGCGACGCGTCGCATCATTGTCGAGATCCGTCGAGCCTTTGTCGTTTTCCGTCGTACCCTTGTCGAGATTCGTCGTGCCCTTGTCGAGATCTGTCGCCGTTTTGTCGGGGCCGGCCGCGCCCTTGTCGTTGTGTGTCGCTTTGTCGTCGCTTATCGCTAACGGTCGGAACACGGAATGTGCAGTGGCAGTGTCGAGGTCAGCTTTTCGGGATACCAATATTCTGATGTCCGTGTGTAAATAAAGTTTGCCCGATTTCGATGTCATGAATCTGAAGGGAAAAGTAATCTTATGAAATGAAATAGACAATAATACTTGACTTGAAAAAGAAGTTTATGTTATTATTAATGATAAGAAATAAATAAATTTCGCTGAATATTTAAGAATTTATTAACTATTGTAAGAACAAGTTGCCAAAAATCTAAGGAATTAATTGTTAGTATTCGTGGATTAAGTTTATACTTGAGGATAAAATGTATTTTATTTGTATTTAATTCTGCTTCTGTTAACTAAAAAAATTGTTTATATCTTCTTACTTAATTAACATCTCATAGAATCTTTTTCGGACCATTCATAAGTGCTTGTAACAAGCGATTTTTGATTTTGTCATCCACTGACCTTAGATGTATGAGGTACCGCAGCCACTTGTGGTGCAGATGCGGCGGTGGCGGCGGTGCGGCCGCGGGCAGGTAAAGCGTACGCTGCCGCAGGAAGGTGTTAGCGCGCGGCGGCATCGCTCGCAAGTCGTACAACACCACGAACATCTTGACGAGTGTGCCGTGAGGGTTGAACAGGGACACTTGCACAGTACCCGAGCGTGGCACCAAATAACCGGCAGTGCCAAGGTTGATGTGGCCCATGTACGGCGCGTTGGTGCCGCCCGCCGCGTAGAAGAACACGGTGACCGGCAGATGCCGGTGCGGCGGACAGTACGCACCGGACGCGCCCAACTCCGCACTGAAACCCTGCACCGTCGCCACAGGCTCTAAGCGACCCTTCAGCGCTGACTCCTCGAAACTACCTACAGATCCAATGGATTCACAAGTTTATTTAAAAATAGATATAAATTATCAGTAGTATCGTGGCGTAGTAAATAAGCGACGCAGCCCGCGATTCTTGTTGCTGAGCGACTTTCGCAAAGGTCGGTCACGGGATGGGCGACCAAAAAATTGTTATCTCGAACCACTTCGGGCTTCGGAAGGTACGTAAAGCCGTTGGTCCCGGCTGCATATGATGTCGTTAATACCCTGCAAATCGATTTAGCCCTTTCGAAGGATCATGGCCCATCTTTCTTTACCATCATGGATCTTCATACGGAAGGCCTGAGCATGATGATGATAAATAAGTAAATATAATAACATATCGCATACATTGATCAGATTCCAAGATATATTAAAGGTCTATTTTCTACATTATCTTAACTGGGGTACCTGGGACCTCAGAGATAGCGACACTTTGAAACCAGCGTGCGAACTCTGCATCGGAGGTCGTCAAAAAATTTTCGAAATCTAGATCTTATGTTGAAATATTAAAAAACTTTGTATATACAAAATCATACTGTTTAATCTTACCAAAGGGTAACTTTCCCATATAAACCCAAAATATAAAGTAATTTGAAATTAATAGTAGCTTATGAAAAAAAAATTCTTTGGGTTGTAAAATGACATGTAAATACACTCACAGGTACAATTAACCGCCCACCTGTATCATTCATCATCCTGTTTTGTTCCGTCTACTTTTGTTTTTTGTTAAGTGGGTACTCTAGCGATAAACAAAATACTTATACCATTATTTTCTTTCCTAAATTTGTCTCACCGAAAGGTTTTTCATTGTTGTAGTTGTGTTACCGAGTTAACATTTCGTGTTATTTTCTATCATCATGAACAAATATTGTTTAATTTGAAATTATAGTGTTTACACATTGTTTGTGATTGCAAAAAATGCCACTCGTTGCAACTGATGTAGCTAAGGCAGTGGCTTTAACTGATGCGGGATATAGCCAGCGTCGCACCGCTGGCACACTCTGTGTATCTCGAACTATGTTACGAGATGCCACCAGACGATTTCGGTAGTCAGGCTTAAACATCCGCAGGCCAGGTCAAGGCCGACACCAATACACTTCGACTCGAGATGACCGTTTTAGGATGTGTTGAAAATTCGCTTTTCGACTGTTACTGAAGCTTGCGCTCCGCAACTGTATCCACAGCATCGTAGAGCTAGACTTGGTTTTGCGCGAGAATATTATGACGGGACTGTAAACGAATGGAAGAACGTAATGTTCTTAGATGAGATTAGAATAGCCTTAAGAGGTCCAGATGGACGTCAGCGCATATATAGGCGTCAAATGAGAGGTTTTCTCCATGGGCTATAGCTGAAACAGTAGGTTACCAGGGAGGGTCCATAATGGTATGGGGCTATCTTATGAGGCTCGTACCGATCTTGTTGTGTTCGATAGAGGAAATGTAAACGCTCAAAGATAGGTGGAATGAGTTCTTCAAGACTATGTCATACCTTTCGCGCCGTTCATTGGTGACAACTTCAGATTAATGCATGACAACCCAGGTTCCATACCGCAAGATCCGTCAGTGAGTACCTTAATGAGGTCGGGATTCAAGTTTTACCATGACCCGGAATGCAGTCCCGATCTTAACCCAATAGAGCTCATTTGGGACAATCTTAAAAGACGTGTCCAAGGAAGAGAACCAGTCCCTACGACTATAGGAAAGCAAAAAACGGTTGCAGTAGAGGAGTGGCACAATATCCCCCAATCAGATATTGAAGACATTATGGAAGGATTGATGAACAGGATAAGGGCCAGAGATAGCAACACCCACTGTTATTTTTTTATTTTTCTATTTATAGCACTATTATTTTCAAAACCAAAATTATAAAATTTTCATTGAAGATTTACAAAAAATCGATTTTTGGTAAGCATCCTTTAATTTCTTTTTCTTTAAGTATAGTTCTTAACATTTCTTTCATAAAATATGGTCTTAGTTTGGCGATTTCTGCGAATTGAATGAAAAGGGTGGGTGGTTAATTGTGACTGTGAGTGTAGAATATTCCCAATTCAAACCGGGAAATGACACCATTATAAATTCCTTAAAGCTTCTGTAAATATTAGCTCAAAATTGAAAAATTATAAAGCTTATTTACTTATTTGGTTGGAATAACTTAATTTATTAAAGATGTCCCCACTACTTTTAATACAGTTAATCACCCTATTATTCGTTCGATACTATTAAATACTAGTTTTCGCCAACGGCTTCGCCCGCGTGATCCCTAGGGAAAAGTTTAGTAGGATAAAGAGTATCCTATTATCTAACTCAGCTAAATACATTATCTGTATACCAAATTTCATAAAAATCCGTTCAGTAGTTTGGGCGTGATTGACAGACAAACATCCAAATAAAGACTTTTACATTTATAATATTATAGGATATTTTAGTTTCAGATAGATTAGTGGTCGAATCTCGTTTTATGTTTAAAACACCAGTATCTAATGCGGTCTTTCAAAATTTTCTCGTAATAGTTTAATCCAAGAATAGCGTAGGTACTCCAAAGTAATAAATATTCTTTTCCTACTAGTTTTTTTTTTCAATTTATTTTGAATACACATTTACAATCTTCATTGTATATATACCCTAGATAATAAGAAGTAAAAGTGAAAATAAACTACACCATATCAAAGTCTTCTGTCTATTTATATAAAACTTAATTTTAATGTAAATGTTCATCAAATAAAATCTGTCATAATTCTCAAAATAATATTATAATCTGTCCAGTAAACCCTCAAAGATCACTTAAAGAATGTTAAAATTTATTTATCAAACAGTGTGAAATAAAAAATTGGGACTAGTGAGCAAATTCTTAACGGATATAAAATATATCATGTTAATTAGTCAACGATGCACTTTGTACTCACCCAGTAGTCCAGTGCTTGTCCCCATCCGCAGCTTCGGCGCGGTTTCCCTCTTGCGGGACGTGTGCGCGCGCGCAGGGGACGCGGGGGAGGCGGGGGACGCGGGCGACGAGGGAGACGGAGGCGCAGGGGGAGACGGCAACGGGGACTCCGATGAGATCGGGTGAAATAGAGCGCTACGAGAAACGTGATTATTGCATTACAAAATGATACATTAAAACTGCTTCCTGAAGATTTTAGACTATTTCTCTTCAAGTAGATGAAATGAAACGCAAGTCGACAACGTTAACAGTATGGTGTAGTAAAATTTATCTACAGTTAATAATATTTCCTTAACACATTTGTAAAATATACTGTATAAAGTAATATTGTTATTGACAGTGATCGATATGAAGTATGAAACTGATATTATTTTAAAGATATTAATTATTTACTACTGCTATATTAGTACCACCACCAGCCCTTTTACGTCCCCACTGCAGGGGCTCAGGCCTTCCTTATGGATGGTTAAGGAGGATGGGCCATGACCCTCCACGCTGGCCCAATGCGGATTGGAGGGTATTGACGACTGCAAATGCAGCCGGGACCAACGGCTTAACGTGCCTTCCGAAGCACGGAGTAGCTCGAGATAATAATTTTTTTGGTCACCCATCCCGTGACCGACCCTTGCGAAAGTTGCTTAACGACTACGATCGCGGGCCGCGGCGCTTATCCACTACGCCACCGAGCTACTGCTATATTAGTAATTTTTAATAATTAGGATAACGTATAATTTTCCAAAATGAAATCACTATTTTTCAACTGCATGTCACGTGACCACAAACAAAAATCGAAAATGTTACAACAGTGTATCAGCTGTCAGTGAAAGTGTCATGACTCGTGAGACTAATTTTATATTTACAATTATAAAAAAAAACTGAATTTTGAACTCCTTAAGGTCTAAAAAGTTATTTAGAATCAAAATAATTAATTTTTTCATTAATCCACACGATCGCTATATTGCTATTAAATAGTATACAAATAATTGACGTCATAGTATGACGGATATGGTCGTTCTGGCACCGAATTCATAAGAAAATTTAAATATAATAATTTTTTGGTATTATCTAGTATAATTTGACGAAAATAATTTTTTACATGGACTTAACTTTAAGATAAAATATTTTTGAATATAATTCTACTATAATGACCTCTAAAAGTGATTTAACTGTCAATTTCTATCACAAAACTTTTTAAACAGTTCAAATGTATTTACATATTTAATGTAATTTATTTAATTAAAAACATTTTAAGTTGTCAAGCACTAACCGAATACTCACCTTTTTATACCAGAGACGCCATTGATCGAATCGTCGAAATCGAAACAATTGTTGCCACGCCGCAATGGCGCTGGCGACGACGTCAGAGGTAGACCAGTCTTAGTATGAAACACCATGGAAGCCGCCGAGTCGAATCTCCATCTGAATTTATCCATCTCGCTCGGAGAAGGCACTTGGTTCTCCTGTCCGTTTCGAGGCTCAGGAAACTTAAAACCATTCTTATCCACCGGCGAATCGGGTGTGTCACTCTCGCATTTATCGAACGTTCCATAATCACATTTTTCGTAGAGAACGTAGTCATCGTCATTGATCGAAAATGTCTTCTGCCTTTTTGTCTCCTGCTGGGGTACAGAGAACACGGTATCGTCCGTCTTCAAGTGCAACTCCTCGATATCCTTCTGCGATCTGTCCGTGACGACTTTCTCTATCCTCTCCATTAAGGGGAAGAATCTCCTCAACTTAGGTCTCTTAATAACATCACTAACACTAGAATTATCTATTATATTATCACACTGTTTACTATTACTACAAATATTATCACATTTCGCCTTTTTAAACACTTTATCTTCATCCTCGCATTTTCTTCTCGCTCCGTTAGACTTCTGGTCTAACGAAGCCAAGTCATAATTCGCCTCCGATCTGACCAATCTGTTCTGATTGCACGCGTCGCACTTCATTTGTATGAGACTGCCACACGGGCACGATAAGTCCTCGGTTTGCGTTGCGACAGTACACGTCCTTTTCACGTCGACCGGTGGAAAGCTCGCTGCGTCTATAAAAGGCGATTTGCTCTCGATCCTGCTCGCCGGCAACGTCAAATAAGTCTGATTTCTGTAGCATCCGATCGCTCGGAATCTGTCGAATCTAGCCGCTTGCAATATAGGTATCGATGTGTGAGTCTCTTTAGCTTTCTGCTGCGCGTCTCCTTCCGAAGAAGTACTGTCTGATAGTTTCTTCAGTTTACTCTCTTTGCGCAAACGCCTTTTGTATTTCGCGATCTCCTTCAATCTTCTCTCGTCTAACTTTTTAGGCTCATTAATGCTAGTGGAAGTTTTATTGTCTTTTCCGTCGGATTCCTCGTCGCAATTGCACTTGTGCTTGCCGTTCTCGCTGCAAGGCGTCAGCATTCTATCATCGACCATTTCATCTTTCTCATCACTCGTGTACAAATATTCGGTGGACGCCGTATTGGTGACGATGGATAGTCTTCTTGTAGTGTTTCCTGTGTTAGAGTTTATAGCGAGGTCCGGTGGAAATTTAACATTCCTATTCCCTAAAGTGAGATCATTTAGTTTCCCCATTATCTCTTCGTGTATATTGACGGGGATTTCTTTGCTAGCTCTCCTCTTTTGGCAGGTACATTTGACATTAGGTATATCTTCTAACCTAGGCAGACTTTCTAGGACAACTTTGAGGCGGACGTTATTCCCTATGTCAGTGATCGGGAACTGATGGCTTATCGGTGTCTTTTGGAAGTCTGTCGCTAGGTACGTGTCGCCAGGGGTTCGGATGGAGTAGACGATGTTCAGTTTGCGTTGCTCATCCACCAGATCCTCTTCGTCGCAGTTGGCTTCGATCTTTTTGAAGTTGCACGTTTCTCGGCTCAGCTTACGTCTGTAAGTTAAAGCAACTCGCTTATGTCATTAGGCAATATACAAAGAAATGTGGATTGAACTGAATGGTAAGTTCACCTAATATCATAAATTTCTTATCTTAACCATACATTGACATCGATAATTACTTTTCTATCAAGGAAACATGTCCATGGATCAGAAAAATTTGAAAACAAACAATCATTGAATCGATGATGATGGAATCAATTCGAATAAGGAGAATTAGTAATTGAGTGTTCTGTTAATTAGAAACAGTTGGTGACAAAAATTGTATTACCCATGTAGGGATAAGGGTGGTGAGTATAAGTATGTGTCGTAAACAGTACCTCCTGTCTTGTGCGGGTGTGGCGGCGGCGAGCGTGCATCGCCAGGCAGTGAGTTGTGAGAAGTGCAGCTGAGAACGAACAGCGTTCAGCAACCACGCCGGGGACATGAACGCGGCCACACTGCCCCTGACGAGCAATACCATACAAAAGTGTTAAGTTTGGATTACAAATAAAGCAACTCTTTTGTAAACGATCTTAATCTTACTGATCACCTGAATTTAACAGAAATCTCTTGAATTTGTGAATAATCAATTAACAGGAAGGGGATAAAGCGTTTAAACAGACTCACTTGCTGGGCAGTGCGTGCATGGTCCATCTCTCCAGCAACAATCCCTTCAGATGTTTCTCGAACGCCGCATCATCAGCGCGCGCCACGCGTCTACAATCAGGGCAGTCTGCCGCCAGCAATACCTATTCCAAAATAACACAGTAACATTAGAACCCTACCACAGTTTTATATCATGGCTTCTTCGTCAGGAGTCCATATTTAGCAAAACTTAACTTCAAAAAGATAACAACTAAAACAAAACTATAAGAAAATACTAATAATATAAAAACAATTCAATCACGGAATACGATTAAACAACAAGAAAGGTACTATCATTCACAATTAATGAGAATCCCAGATTACGTATTTTGACTATCATGAATACATCATAATCTGACAAAATTAAAAAGCTATACTACGGAAACGTTTGAAGGGATGAGGCAACATTTTAAATTTGGTAGAGTTATAGTGACATGAGAATTGTGCCGAGACTATCCAACCCTGCTTCTCTAGGTTCTTTAAGATGAACACTTTTTATTGTAAAAGTTATTAAATCTTTTAAGTAAGTCAATACTCATAATTTTGTTTAACAGATAGCTTAAACGACAACTGTTAAGTATAGCAGCTGGTACTTAAGTAAATATGTAGCAAATAAGCTGTCGGTCTAAAGAGTAACATGATTTAAATTATTATTTTACAAAGTATACCATAAAAAAACCTTATTTAACTTCTGTCTAATGCTATAATGAATGAAGTATAGCTAGGGGTGTAACGTCACTACATAGTATAAAACAGAGTCGCTTTCTCTGTCGTTATATCCCTGTGTATGTTTAAATCTTTAAAACTACGCAACGGATTTTGACGCGGTTTTTTTTTCATCGATAGGGTGATTCAAAAGGAAGTTTACATATTAAAAATTCATTCATAAACATTCATATTCAAAACGAAATATGAATTTTTTTTTTTACAGTTACAGCTAGGTACCGTGTGAGGACTTACATCAATACAAACTGGGATCTGATCAGTCCACAGAGCTTGTACATAGTCACTGAGCTGGCCCTCCACTCCAGGTTTTGACTCTTCAACATCAGATATCGGCTGCGTTTGGATCTAGAAAAGACGAAATTTAATAATTATGTACATTGTATTCAGTTTCTTCCAACCAGTATTATCTAAAATAAAATCAGGTTCTGTAAGCACTCCGTTAAAATCCAGTAATTATTTTAAACGGCGAAAATAGACTTATTTGTCAGTCATGTTACTGTATCAAATAAGTATATATGTAGTATATAAGGACATCCACATAAAACCGCAATGCTTGCGAACTTGCAATACGATTTCCTGCATGACGTTGGTTCAGGTGACAATACTTTCAAGTAGTCAGCCATATTCAACGTGCTTTTAAGAGTAAATATTAATAAATAAATATTAAACAACATTACATACATTGCTCAGATTCCAAGATGAGTAGCTAAAGCCCCCGTATTACGGAGTATATGAGACAACGTTGGTGCCACAACACCCAGACACGAGACAATAGAGAAAAGTGCATTTTCTGCATTGACCCGACCGGAAATAGAACCTGGGACCTCAGAGATGGCGACACCTTGAAACCGGCATACTAACCACTCGGCTACGGAGGTCGTCAAGAATAGTGACATGAATCACAAAAATATTGTTGCACTGCTATCATTGTTAAATATATTTTCTAGATTTCATCAATTTATTAAGATAATGAACGCCGAGGGAAACAATTTCACTCGAAAATACTGTGGTTTAAGAATAGAAAAAGATATGCTATATTATAGCATACACATATTCTAACAGTCTCCACACTACTTTCCCAATGCTATCTCAAAGTGTGCTAAAATGGCGTCATGTCACCAAATTGTGATGATAAATAACGCAGGAATATGCGATGCGGATTAGAGCAGAAGTTCTTGCGAGGCGTTCGTGCAAGCTTTCAAATATTTGCGGTGCAAGCAGTTATGTGTGGAAGCCTAAAAATATATACCTGAAGCTCATTCGTATCCTCATAAAAACATACCTGTTGGCTGGTGGACGGTTTAGAGGCGAGCAGTTTGGCGTGTAGCAAACGGTCGTGGGGCGAGGACGGGGCCGGTGGGGCGCGAACGGGACTCGCGCTCCTCGACCTGACTATGAGCCGGCCCAACTCTAGCAGAAGATTGGGACCCGTCGCCGGGGCCGCTGCCACCGTCTCACTACTGTGCATCTGGAAATTAACAGAACAGACACTGTAAGTGGTTAGTTATCATAAAACTTGGATGCAAAATGAAGAAACTAGATAAAATAAATTTTTGATCTCCTATCCTATAACTGGCCCTTATGAATTTCCACATCGCAATCCAAACGCACTAAACAACGCCCAATAAAGTTATAGAATTCTTAAAAATGAATACCTTCGCGTGGGTACTTTAGGAGTATTCAATTTTTCTATATGGTCCAGAACTGTAGTTTATCGTCCGCGTTTTCCATTATTTCTTCGCTCCTAATAGTAAAAGCGTGATGTTATATAGCCTAAAGCCGTCCTTGATAAATGGTCTATTCAACACAAAAATAATTTTTCAATTCGAACCAGTAGTTCCTGAGATTAGCGCGTTCAAACAAACAAACAAACTCTTCAGCTTTATATTATTAGAATAATATTAGATAGTATAGATAAAAACTTAAAAAAATAGGACCGACTTCAAGCTAATAATTCAAGAAAATGTTATTGAAGTAGGGGGGGAGGTCTTTTGTAAGTTATTTTTTCAACGATAGGCGCCCGAATTCAATAATATTTTCTTGAATAAGTTAGCATTTGAGATAAGTATAATTTATCATATTTTTAAAGTTTAAAATCGGTTCTATTGTTTTAAGTTTTTATTTTATGTTTTTAGTGATACTGATATTTTTATATAATAGGTAACACTACAAATATTAAATATCTATATAAATAAAAACGTTCAACATAGTGAAAATCTTTGAAAAGTAGATTTTATACATAATATATTGTATACTATATTTGAATTATATATGATTGCTTGTTTCATTCGTCTATTGGAAGCTACTTAATACGCGTTGGATATAGGCTATAATTTATGCAGGTGAAGTCACGGGGAAACAACTAGTTTAATATAAATTGGTTCACAATTCAAGAAATGTATAGTTTTATAAAAAAATACATAATCCTTGAATATAGAAAATTCACCTTTCGGATTTTGAATAAATTCTTTTGTAAATACGCAATCTTTTGTTTTTAGCTGAAATGAGCCATCAACTAAATTTTGGGTGATATTTGGTGGAAAGCGTATTTTCTTTTTATAAAAGAAAACTACTAATTAGATTTCGATAAAATATGAATAGAACCACCTTAGTCCATTAAACTGTCGAATAAAAAAGCTTTTTGGAAATCGGTCATCAATTGGTGGATATATCGGTGAAAATACTTAAAAAAAAATACATTCCCGTCGAACATATTATAGCCTCAATATATCCTCCTTTTGGATTTCGAAGGTGGTTAAAAAAGAAGTATAAACTCAAACAACACGGTTGGATGAAAAGACAATACGCCACACATCAATTTGAATAAAAAAAAAGGTTTAACTTATTTTTTCGGCCGCACTGTGGCGCTCGTACCCTTTCTTTGTCGATTACGCTGCTAATTGAATATAACATTTTGTTAAGTCTTTTTTATAAAAAAAGATTTTCGACTGCACATTTCCACAGTTCTTTGTGCTCAAAATTAGTCCTGACTGCAAATTTCCATGTACTATAGTTGTCTCTTCATTATATTTTTTCAATTTGTAGGTTATTTGAAGCCATACTACACGTGATTTATAAATTCCTTTTTCGACAGTAAAAATAGTACTAACTAAATATGGTACAGCCCATAACCTTTAGAAATAAATACTGTTCAGTAGTAACGTCGTGGAAGGTTTTGATGCGCTGTTTTATAAAGTTTTGTATAAATTGACTTAATTTAGCCGATGATTGTGAAGATATTGGATTTAGTTGCCAACGAAGAGTTATTTGTCTTTTTTTTTAATTTTTATCTAGACTTATAAAGAGCAAAGATTTCATTATTTGTTTACATCAAATTGGCTCCGAAACTACTAAACAGATTTTACAAAGTCATCAAGTAATATGTCGGCTGGTGATCTACAAAAGAAAACTGTACCAAAAAGTAAAGGGCTGATAAAATACATAAAATGACTCCATTCGCGTTTCTAATCATTATTCTGTTTATCTAATCATCGTGTGCACCTAAACATTTTGATGACGTCACTTGCAACGAGTCGTTATGATGACATCACACACCATTAAAAATATTACGTCGTCATCACGAAAAGGTAGGTAATATTCAAACTCTTTACAACCTGCCCAAACCATAGAAGGTCCGAACATACTTTGACCCATTGACATCGAACGTATAAAAATGTATCCATAACCTTTCAAATATCTAGAAGTGACATGCCCTATTTTGGCAGAGCTCGCTGTTGCCAACGCCCTGGTTTTAAAAATAGAACAACATTGCTACACTCAACTGCTAAAGCGCTCGAATAAACTGATGTTATCTCGGGTAATAATATTGTTGTGTATCATTATCTTACTATACTGCAATACATGCGGGTTTTTTTATCTATAACGTAGGTAGATTTTCGATTATAATAAAATTGCCTTTTTAGCGCAAATATAACAAACACTGAAACAAACTACGTTTTTTCGTAGATACTCTCAATGGTTATATCGATGTTTATGACAAGAGATATAAGTTACCCATTCATTTTTTTATAGTACATATATAAAATCGTGGACATTCTGTACTCTGCTGTGTATTGTTTGAATTGTGTTAATTTTGCACTGATCATTTTCATCTGTCTTTAAGATTTACTGAACAGAACTGAAAACTTAGTAAAGAAAAAAATAGAAAAATGTAAACAGTAGATTCTACGAGTTATTTTATCCGATGCAGCTAATATTCTAAACAATATAAGTCATAATTGTAAAAAGAGTTTTATCGAACAGTAAGATAACCTTAATTACAAAATAATAATAAAACAAAAATATACACGATATATTAAATACAATAAAGATATATTTATGTTTTTACTGTTAACATAACTGTAATTGCTTTTTTTCCGCTTATGATCATTTTTATTGCAAACTGTTTCAAATGTAACCCTGGACGCTAAAAGCGCTTTTCAACTCGGTAAGGTTTTCGAGGGCGGGTCGCGGGGGTGCATCGAGAATTTAGGCCAAGGGCTCGCCTGCAAGCAGCCACGCCCTACCCTACAAAATACTCTTTGTTGTAATATCATACAAACAAGTTATCATATGGAAATGGAGAAAATCAATATTTCAACTCAGGTTTCCCATATCCTAAGCATGTTCTCTACATTTTTGTAATTAGGTATACTATATAGCGCTAGATGTTAAAAGTTTTATTTTACATTGACCTTTTTTTACAAAAAGATCTTATGTACAACAGAAACAGCCACGACTGAGCTTGACAAATTTAGCTGGATATATCTACGTAAGGGACACCTGCTTTATACAATAAAAAATAGTCGTTGCATATTTTATCGATTTTAGACACACTACACGACAGACACATCACGATATTTCATTAAGATATTTATGCAACACAAGGTTACAAATCAAAACCTCACTTGGCAAACATCTAGGTCAAGATTTAGTGCACACCACCAATGGCAATGGGGTACAGTATAAATCTTCTATCAATCGTTGTCTCAAACAGTGGCAGACTGCCAGCTATTACTGACAAATCAGAAAGAAGATTCATTTCCTTAAACGACTTTTCCGATTTGTTAAAGACTCATTTTCACATATCGCAATCGAGGAGCTTAACGGCACAATGGTTAGCTCTTAGCTCGCTCAGTCTGCGATACGGTTATCAAGCAATTTTCGCAAGGGCCGGTTATAGAATGGGTGACCAAAATAAATACCTATTATTTAGAGTTTATCCGTGCTTTGGAAGGCACGTTAAGCCGTGTTGGTCCCGGCTGTATCTGCCGATGTTGATACTCACCAATACATACAGCGCTCGAGTGGTGGGTCATGACCCATTCTCACTATTCGATTCTTTCCATAGGGAAGACCTAAGCCGCCAGCAGTGGGGATATTACTATGTGATGATGATAAATATCGCAATAATTATACCGTCTGCAAATGTTCACATAACCCATATGCAATGACAATAGTCATACTCATATTTTACGCAAAGACTTAGAAGCACCCAGGTACATCGACCACGCACGCACGCAGGTTCTATCGACCAATAAAAATGCGCCTAATTTATTTATTTCATCCACCAACATATGTTTACCATTGTACAGATTTATTGATAACTAGCTTTCCGCTAACGGCTTAGTTAACATGATATGACTTGACACAACATTTATCCTTATGGAATTGTTTAGTGGAATAAAAAGTAGACTATATTTTAATTCTGGCTTAGAATTATCCATATAAAAAAATTAATTAAGCTTTCATTAGGTAATATACTACTGACTTAACCGCAGATACTCTTCTAAAGCATTTTTAATAATAATAAAAAACCGTCACTTTTCACGGAAAAGAATATACCTAAGTCATACAATATACCTATATGTATTTATTGTTCCTTTTCGATCATTTCATATCGTTCTCAATTCTTTAATTGTCAACTGAGTTTTTATAGATTTTTATGCCGTAAAGGCAATTAGGACTTTGTTTGAGAATAAAGTATAGATATTAGATAAATTACAAAAATTACATTAAATACGCAATGCACAATAACGACAGAAAAGATGCAATAAGCCTTCTAAACATAAACATATTATCTTAATTACAAGCCTAATATACTATGCGGAAATGGTGTCACGCGCAGTCGTAGCGTTCGTTGCACACCAAACATAAATAAAGCGGAAAGCTCTTTTTGGAAACCCGCCAAAATTCGAATAGCGAACGACACTAAACACCAATTTAATACGCCTATAAACTACGAATTTTCACTCTTCTCAAAACTAGTGAGAATTCAATTTCGAAAAAAAAAACTAGTGTTGAAATACTCTTTGATGAGCAATAATATATGTGAATTCATCTAAAAAGTTCGTTTCAAACACGTTACAATCAAAGCCTTGATTATTAAATGTTTGCGCATTATAGTTAGAGATAATAATTTATTGTTGTCGATATTACGATGTAAAATTATACGCGTAGTTCTGTGTC